ATGCCTCGCTTTTAAAGTTTTCCTCTCCTTGTGATTTCTTATATGATTTTCAGCAAGCCACAATCTTTGCACAATCAGTGATTGCTTTTTCTTATTTCTTTTTAAACTCTAGTGGATTAACTAGGTTGATTTGCTCTTGGATTCCACTTTCGTACACCACATGCTTTCTTTTGATATATAAATGCAAAGTGTCAAGATCTGTGCATGTATGAGGCAACAGATCTTTGCAATGGGTTTGCCGTTTGCCTTGATCCCCATGATTGGTTGTTAACTATTTTATACATTTGTGTCATGCGCCCTTAAATGTAAATTTATGTGTTCCGCCTATTAGTTACCCATCCATTTATTTCATAAAATAAAATATTGTTATTAGTTTTTCATGGGTAATACTAAATCACAGTGAATATTTGATGCATTGTGAGTGATACTAAATTATCACAATTATCAAATATCAAGAAAATTGTCTCTATATATTATTTTAAAACTAATAAAATTAATGGTATATTTTTTGGCTACACGATGAATGATAATAAATCACCGTAAATTTTTAAAAGCATCAAAAGAGATATTGTAAATGACACTAAATCATCATGGATAATAATAATAATAATAACAACAACAACAACAACAATAATAATAATAGTAATAAATTATTGGCACATTTTAGCCTATATCATGAGTGATATTAAGTCATAGTGAATCTCTAAAAATATCAAAGTAGATATCATAAATGACATTAAGTCATTATAAGTGTTAAAGTTTGTATTAAAAGGTTCTAATTAAATCATTTTCTAGAAAAATATCTTTAAAGATTCTTTTTATTCATTTTAAAGATACTAAATCATCATGCGTATTTAGAGCGTCAACCAAAATACTGTTAGCAATACTAAATCACTATAGGTTCTAATGCTAGTTAAAGTCATTTTTTTTTACTAAAAGTACTTTTTAAGAATAAATGTAACACTTTTCCTGAGTGTTATCTAAAAATTACACAATTCAAACAAACTAAGTGTGGTTAAGGAGTTGATCCTAAAAACAACTTAAGAAACAAATCATTTAAATCAATAAACAAATACACCATCGCAAAATAAACATTTAAAGCCTTCAGAAAAATGTATAGGTTTTACCTATAGCGCACCGAAGTAAACTAGATGAAACTGGGATAAAAAGATGCTATCATGACAACATTAAATTGCTACTATAACAGCCCTCCCTAGCCAATTTTCAGGAGGAGCCGTTCTGCCATTTGACCTCTGATCAAAGTGATTTTAAAACTCACATGTCATTTTTAATGATTACTAGTAGTGTACCAAATTTTAAAAAGATCTAATGGTCAAATTAGAATTTGGACACTCTACAAGATTGGACAAAGTTGCTGTCATGACGGCACTTCTGAACCAACTTCCGGAGTATATAATTTCATCATCTGACCTCCGATCAGAGCGATTCTAAAGCTCACATGTCACTTTTAAAGAGTAATATAGCGTACCAAATTTTAAAAAGATCTAACAAACGGATTGAAATTTGTACATGTTATAAATTCAGCCACTTTGCTGTCATGACAGCATTAAATAGCTGTCATAACAGCACCTTCGGACCAACTTTTGGAGTGCACCATTTCTCCGTACGATATCCAATTGAGGTGATTCTAAAGCCCACAGGAAGATTATAAAAAGTTTTACTTGTAACCTAAATTTCAAGAAAATCCAATGGTCGAATTGAAATTGAAACACTCGGATATAAAAGTGTAGCTTTTTTGGTAAAAACTATTTTCCAAATTGTCCAAATCTCATCATAATGGTTACAAACCTGTAGGAACACTTTGGACACGTCAAATAGGACTAGGAGTACTTGATAAAATATTTAAATAATAGAAAAACCCCTTATATCAAAATTTGACCATTTGGGTATCATTTTCCAAAATGGACCATATACCCCCAAAATTTACAAATCACACAAAAGTGATCAAAAACCATTCCAAATACCATATGCACATATGAATACACATGCTAAATATTTTTACTTAACTCAGAGATCTCCGTGAGGCCCACGCACCTACTCTTTCTATCCAAGGTGTATGTTTGCCCATAGCATATCATTTGCAATGCAATCACTTTGCATTTGCTTGTAGAACCACTTATATACCAAAATAAATATTTGCTTGTAGTGAAAACTTGGTATATCAAATAAATCCATCAAAACCACACACTATAATCAAATTTCCTAGCCACAAGTCTACAAGTAGACAAAAATTCATACACAAGCCACACAATCCACACACATTCATACACACATACATATAATCACATCCCACTGGCACCCTAACCTTACATACATTACAATAGATTTGCTCAAAAGAAAGGGATTGTAGTTCTTTACAATCCACAAACAACTTCTAGCTCTGCTCCTTTCCTCATCCACCACTAGATCCTTCATCTAGACTTATAAATGTTATAAAAAAAGGGGTGAGACAACCACAGTCTCAATAAAAGAGAAATTGATATTTTTTATTACAAGAAAAGCTATAGTCAAATAAATAAATAATAGATTCAAAATGACATATAATTAACTAATTAAAATGCTTGAATGCATGAAATAGGCCGATATGACTTTTCCTGACTAACAAAATGCCCCTTGGCACTCTTTAGCTTATAGGAAAACCTTATACCCATTGTACTTCCATAGGCACAAAATATAAACTAAGGCATGATCTGATCCACCAAACCGCTTGTGACCCTTTGACGTGAATCTTGAGCAATCAAAGCTAACTCCCTCCCAGAGCCAACCTGACTTACTTTCTATGTGAGGGCTACCTTGGCCTAGGCACTCAACCTCACACTTCATATGCTGAATTCCCTCCCTCACTGAGAGGTTTCGAACCCTCAATCCACTAACCACTTTAGTGTACTAAGCCTATAATACGAAAGACAGCATTGAGTACTAACAATGAGCTATAGAGTATCACAAGATCACATTTTCCCATTGGTGAACTCCCACTAAGATCATGCCTCCTACTCTTTTCTACCTTTCTCAAGTGTTTACCACTTCAACACTCTAAGGAAGTATAACACTCATAATTCATCTCATCTCTTAAGTGATTTCTTAATTCATCTCATCTCTTAAGCGGTTTCTTAGCCTATCTAAGGTACCAAACCTAGTTACACTTCCCTAAGTGCAACTCCTCATTTTTTTTATGATCACAATGCATGTTAATAATTTTATTTCTATAAATAACATCATTATTAAATAGATAGTAAACATAAATACATTATTAATAAAATAATACCCTATAAACCCTTCTAAAACACATTTCATTTGCATTCAATTGTTTAAAACATGTAATGCATGCTAGATAATATTACCTACTCAAAAATAGCTAAACAAAGCAATAAGAAATATAAATTTTCTTATTACCTCGACCATTTGATATCAAAAGGGTTCTCCTTGTACAAAATAAGACTTACCTTGTTCCTTAACTTCTCAATAAGTTCCACCAACAATTCCCTACAACATATAAGTGATCCACATCACTTTTCATGGAAAATAGTATAAAAGAAGACTATAACTCATACTGGACAACTTGGGTCAATAAGCCATAATCCATCTCAATAGTCCATGTATTAAACCAACTAGTCACATAGTATCACTTAACCACCAAAACCATTTATTAGCCACCACTAGGCCAATTTCCAAACCATGTAATTTTTAATCAATTAAAAAACCTTCACTTAGCTTCACCAACTTTCATAATTAACCTTTATAATGAAAATTAAATCTTAATTTAAATCTTATTGGATTCAAATAGCACAATTATAACTAAATCAATAGGCTTAAACCATTGAGAAGCAAAACCCAACCTATTGGGATTTGAGTTTTTCCCTAAAACTCCATTTTTCATCCAATTGCATGTTCAAAACATTAGAGCACTATATAAAAACTCAAAACAACCTCCTAAGAATCTAAGGAAATCAAAGCTTGCAAAAACAAAGCTTTTGGGATCAAAATTTAAAATTTACCTCTTCCAAAAATTAAAGAAAACCAAGAGAGAAGGAAGAGGATTAAAGTAAAAAACTTATCTATCATGTAACCGAGCTCGCAAACCATACAATCTCCCGGATCCGAGCTCTAGCTTCCCTCACTTTCTTCCTCTCTCACTCTCTCATCCATTCTCTCTCTCTCGTCCATTCTCTCTCTCGTGCTCTTTATTCTTTTCATTTGTTTCATTTATGTGTTTTCTTTGTTCTTTACCCTTTTAAAAAATTGATCTAACTATTTTTGAGAAAATTACAAGGAAGGGCCCAACATTTCATATTATAACACAAAAGCTCGAGTCAACTTTGATAATTTTTCTCATAGTTAAAAATAAAATAAAACTAAACTTTTATTGAGTAAAATTTGTACTCTAAACCTCTATCAAATTTTCTTAATTTTAATTTAATTATAAATATTTTATTTTTTTAAAATAAATTCTAGTCTTAAAATTTTCAGAATGTTACAATAAGTTTTTAAAAATAATAATAATAATAATAATAATAATAATAATAATAATAATAATAATAATAAGATTAACTCAAAACTAGATTCTTTTTTACAAAAATCAAGGAATTAAATATTTATAAACTAATACTTTGAACTATTTGAACTTTGATCTCTCTAAAGGTTACATAGGCTCTAGGCTTTTATCCTAAGTTAAGTGCCCCATGTGAATAAATAATTTGTTTTCATTTATTTTTTAATCTGCATTATGTATGTGATTATAAATGGTAATTAAAGATATTAAAAAGCTAATTTAATTTTATGTAATTAACTTAAGATAACTATTCTTATGAACAAGTATTGTGAGATTGCTAACACTTTCACCACACATAATTAACTCTCGAACCCTTCTTCACATATAATATTTTATCATTCACATATATATATATATAGCGTAAGAACAATAAGTACAAATGAAGAGGAAATTAATTAATAATATAGGCACAGTACAGAATTCTCATACCTTTCAATTGAATATATCCAATGATATTAAACAAGGCCACCAAGCTTTGCTTCCTGAATAAAGTGTGCAATCAAATGAACTATGACTGTGAAAAATGAAAGAGGAAAAATCATTTCGAGATAGCCAAGACTAAGAATAATTTCATCTTGCAGCTGATTTAACTCTTTAATGGTCAAAATCTTTACGCACGACTTCTTGAAAATTGAATACAATTCAACCAATACTACTGATACTTCTAGCAACAATGAATTTTTCATGGCTAATGGAAATAACTATTGCATCAGAACATGGGAGTCATAACCATAGGTTGAAACGATAGTAGTGGTTCTCGAAACAAGACAATTTTTTTAATCTCACAAAATCTTATCTAATTAAAGGTTAAAAGTGGTTCTAAATCATATAAAATGATTTTAATTCACATAAAAATATTAAAATTAAAATATAAATTGGAATAAAATTCATTTTAATTGAAATAAAAATATTCAAGCATAAATATAGAAAGTTAATTTATTACATTTTAAAATAAAAACAAAATTGAAAGAAATAAAGTCCTATGACTATGGGGGAGGATCCTACTGCTCTGATAGCCAACTCTAGTAGGGACTAGCAATGGTTCCCATGGGTTGGTCCTGTGACTAACTCATACCTTCTGGTAGGACTGTGCAATTTACCCAATAACCCGTATACCTGGCCGACCCGTGATTAAACGGGTCAACCCATACCCATTATTTAAGGAAAATAAACGAGTATGAGCGGGTATATACCCATATATCAGTAAACGAGTCGAGTGACGGGTAACGATACGGGTGGCCCGTACCCGCCCATTTATGTTTAAAAAAAAGTGCGAGCTGTGGCTGGAGACTGGGCCTGACCGTCTGAGAGATATTTGGTTTTAGGTTGGGGATTGTTTTCAAATAGAAAAAAAGACCCAAAACCAGTTTGGTTTCAAGCTGAAACCGAAGGCGTGAAACACTAAAACTGAAGTACTGAACCTGTAAACCAACTCTACTTTGTCGTGACTCATGAAACCGAATGCCCGTCCTCTCAATTGTGTCGGTGTGTGAGATAGTAAGAGTCTCACTCTCAGCTGTGCCCTAAATCGGTCCTCTTAGAGTGTGCGACTACCAACTGCCAAGCTGCGAGGTGCGAGGCTGCAAGCTGTCGAGCTGATCCTCTCGTCCTCTGGCACTTCAATTCTCATTCTCTAGTCCAGTTTTCCATTTTTCTTTGCCAGTAGTGAGTGATGTTTTAAGTTTTCACAGCCTTGTAAGCACAGGAGTATTGTAAGGTATTGTATTTGATACGAGTATCGCTGTATCGTAATCATAACTTATATGGGTGAACTCTGTTTTTAAAGTATAATGAACTGCAATTGATTGAAATTTCCTTCCTTAATGCTGTCTCGTTTTTTGCATTTGTATGATAATGAGAATGGATAGTCTAGTGTGCCTCATTTTTCCTATTTTACCGAAGGGTCTTGTTCAATGTGGATATTGTGGATTTTTGGAAAATTTAAAGAGCATCCATTCTTGGACCTGGGATTCAATCTGCTGCTATGGATTTGTTATCTTAATTGGTAATGTTGCCAAAGGCATGCTCCAAGTTGTAAAGGGATCTATGACAACTCAAAGTTTAAGTACCATCTTACTTTGAAAATGGATCAGTAGAAGCATACTTTAAAATTAAATGCCTTTCACTTTGATGCTCCAGGTAGGCCTTTTCTAAATAATAGCAGCCTACTCTGATCTCCTCATATTGATCACATTGTTTAATTTTTCTGGCTGGCTATTATTGGTTTGGAATTTGCTCTGCCTATAATTCTCACTGATTGCAAACAAAGTTCTATATTTTTAAAAAAAAATTAGATAGATTTAGTGTATTGAAAATTTATAAACAAACTTCTACATTTGCTTTAATTTACTGCTGGTGGTGGCATATATTTTTTAATGTTGAAGTCTGTCAAGACTCTTTAGTCTTTCTCACAAGACATTGTCCATTTCTCAAGGCTTGTTGGTAATTATATTTGTATTGTGTGTGATTGTTAAGGTGTTGCACCTAACATTAAATATGTCTATGATTGATTTGTTTTGGTTATATAGTTTTTACTTTAACATTCACTATGGAAAATGTACAAGCTATGGAAGGGAACCATGAACCTAAAACTACCACCACCATCACAACACCCATAGAGTCTAAACCTATCCAAGTTGAAGAAGCACCACCCTCCAAATGTAAAAAGAGCACAACATCTAAAATGTGGAATCATTTTGAGAAGTTTATAAACAAAAAAGGTGAGCATTGGGCTAAATGCAACTATTGTGGAAAGGATTTTGCTGGCTATTCTTCTAAAACTGGGACTAAGAACCTTTGGCGGCATTTTGATTCTTGCCCAAAGAATCCAAAAAAAGCCAAGGCAGGACAGTCCTTACTCTCTGCTTCCTTTGGTAAATCAATGACTCATCACTCGTATAATGCAGAAAGGTGCAAAAAAGCAGTTGCTAAATTCATCATTTTGAATGAGATGCCATTTCGAGTTTTAGAAGGGAAAGGTTTTAAAAAAATGTTCGAAGTACTTGAACCAAGATTTACATGCCCTCTCACACCACTATGGCTAAGTTGTGCTACAATATATATTTAAAAGAAGCAAAACGTTTGAAAAGGTATTTTAAGAAATTTAAAGTTCATGTGTCCCTCACTACAGATTGTTAGACTTCAATTCAAAATTCCAACTACATGTGTTTGACAACTCATTGGATTGATGAGGAATGGACATTACAGAAATGAATTTTGAATTTTTGTGTGGTGGAAAACCATGAAGGGGATACCATTGGCAATGAAATTGAGGGATGCTTATTCTATTGGGGTATTAAGAAAGTATTTGCAATTATAGTTGATAATGCTTCTTCTAATGATTCTGCTATTATGTTTTTGAAAAAGCATTTGAAGGGTTTGGGAGGTCTATTGTGTGATAGAGAATTCTTGCAGATGCGGTGTGCTACTTATATTTTGAATTTAATTGTTTCAAAAGGCCTTAAAGATATGAATCAATCTATTGAACTTATTCGGCATGCAATTAAGTTTGTTAAATCTTCTCCTAGTAGGGTTAAAAAATTTAAGAAGCTTGTTGAAAAGTTGAGAATTGATTCAAAGAGCCTTCTTAGCATGGATTGTCCCACCAGGTAATTTACATAATTGTTAAATTATGATTGTTTGCATTATGATATGCAATTTTTTCTAACATTTAAATCTTTTGCTTATTTTAATAGGTGGAATTCAACATACATCATGTTACAGAATACCGTTAAGTTCACTAAGGTCTTTGATAGAATGGAGGATGAGGATCAGGATTACAAGAACTACTTCAAAAAGAAAGTTAAACTGTCTTCCAGCTCAAGCTATGTTGATAGGATGGAAGAGGAGGATGAAGATGAACTTGGTGATCATGATGGTGATGAAGGTACAGTTAAACCTCCTAATGCCTATGATTGGAGTGTGGCAAAGGAATTTCTCACCTTTTTGGAGTTGTTCTATACTATGACTCTTTAATTTTCTGGATCAAATGATGTCACATCAAACACATGCTTTCAAAATATAGTTGCAATTAAGACACGATTGGATTCAATTGCAGTTGAATCTAATTCTTTAGTGAGTGATATGGCAAAAAAGATGCAAAGTAAGTATGACAAGTACTGGGGAAAGGCAGAAAACGTGAATCCATTATTGGTGATAGCTGTGATTCTTGATCCTAGATACAAATTTTCTTATGTTAAAGTTTCTTTTAAACATTTATTGGTGATTACACGAAGAGGGAAATGATGAAAAAGAAGATTATGGGGCTTTTGCATCGCTTGTTTGATGAATACTCTACAACTCTTACAGCCAATAGTAGTGAACCATCTGAAATTGGTACAGAGGTAGGGGATAGCAGTGCCAGTGGTGGGGGGAAGCAAGCTCCTCCATCTTCTAAAAAAATTATAGATATGGCAATGTAAGATTTCTTAGCCACTGCAGTGAGTAAGCGTCTAAAGAAACCAATTTTAGAGGTGGAAGAGTACCAAAATGTAGAGTTAGTTGATGCTTGTGATGATAGTTTTGACATTTTGGCATGGTAGAAATTGAATTCTTCCAAGTATAAAATTCTGGGCTTGATTGCACGTGATTTGTTGGCTATGCCTGTCTCCACAGTGTCTTTGGAATCTGCTTTTAGTACTAGGGGTCGAGTACTAGATACTTTCAGGAGTTCCTTATCTTCAAAAATAGCCGAGGCACTCATTTGCAACAAGAATTGGCTATCATCAACATCATGCACCCCATTGGAAGAGATTGGTATTAACTATTTTGATGAGACTTTACGTGCTATTGATGGTAATAATAATATGAATAAGTTATTTTATTTATATTCATTTTAATTCTCCATATTATATAATATATATTATTATTTACTAATCTAATTGTTTTAATTTGTTTTGTAGAGGAAGAGTCAATAGCTCAATCTTCTGCCATATCAGTGACTCCGAAGAAGATAAATGAGGATCGATGAGACTAAATGAGTTTTCACTTTAAAAATTAAAATGATTGATTCTTGTTTATTTAATATTTACTGTTAAAATATTTGTCTTTATATTATTTAGAGATTTAAACTTTTAGAATGATGCTACTTAAGTACTTATGTTAAGTTATAGTGGGATGAAAATCATATGTTTTGATTCTTTTCTTTTTTTTTAAAAGAAAATGGGTGTTGTGGGTAAACGGATGACCCAGACCCACCAAAATCTGTTTTCACGGGCGGGTAACGGGTAAGGCTATGGGTGGCCCGTACTTGCCCATTTACACCCCTACCTTCTGGTTCTCTTACTAGGAAGTCTTGGAGGATAGGTCAGGGAACCAATTCACCCACATCACCCGTAACACTTGATGATATTAGGATAGTTCCCTATTGACCTAGATTTGTACCTCCCTACTACTATCCTCAGGGTCAATCATACACCTCCTCTAGCTCCTAGTTGTTGACTCAAAGGTTCTTGTAGTCTCAAAAGCCACCCTCCTACATATACCGAATACCTATGTCAGTGTGGTACCAAAACCCATGATACAAACCCAACCAAGATGATTTCAAAGGTTGTAAGAAATCTAAAGTGGAGTATAAGGGTTTGGCTCCATTAATTTCTGAGACTCCCAAATCTCATGTTGCATCTCCAGTATCCTATCCTATAAATTTATAATTTAAATTAAACTATACTATAAAAGTCAACAATATTAATTTATATTATTAAAGTAAATAATATAAAATAATATTTTAATACTTACGATCAAGATCTTAATCTTTGTGGTAAGAGGGCTTTGAACCTCTATGGTAGGAGGGCGCCCCTCTTTATGCGTATATCTCTCCACAAAAAGGTCACTTATATCAACCTTGATCCCATTGCAACAGCAGCTTCTTGCCCTTGTAATATTTAGTTCAAACAATTAAATTAATAAAAATTAAAATTTCATTAAATTTAATTCAATTAAACAATAAATTTATCATATCGTCGTAGCAGATTTCAAATCCCTTCAATCCACCAACATGGTGGATTCTCTATTCACTTCTGCTATTCCTAGCCTTCTTGGAGACATCTTGTTATAAATGAAATATATTTAAATTTAAATTATAAATTAATAAACAAAATTAATTTACATTTAAATAAAACAACATATATTAATAAACAAAATTAATTACCTATCATTGTAGAGTATAGCGCCACCTAGCAAATTTAACCCAACAATTAGGATTTACTTCAAGAGGGAGGGCCAGTTGCTGCTACCTCTTCCAACAACTTTGTCTTGTCTTCATTATATTTCTAGAATAGACTATTTTTGTTATTCTTCCATCCATTCCCCATCTTAAAAAGTGAGTACAACACCCAACAGTACATCACAAAAAAATTTTGCTGCATAAATAAATAACAGATAGTTAATATAATTATAATTAAATAAATATAATTAATAAATAAAAATAAATAATTATAATTATAATTATATATATAAATTATAATTAATAAATAAATATTATTAATAAACATGAATATACTCAAATAAATATATTAATATGATTGACTAAAACTATATAAAATATTAAAGAAATAAATACTTTTAGAATTTATTCCCAAGTCTTTTCCTTCACTTGCTATCTAACCCTCCTTCAAGTAAATAGATCAATGAAAAAAAACGTTATATTTTTTCCAGTCCCATCTGAAAATATTGTAGAGTTGTCCTAAGTAAGAGATTGGCTAGCCAACTAAATTCCACCTCATCAGCATGCGATGACCATCAGGCAGGGTCTAAAGGCCATGCTCCTCCAATATCCTCTCACAGGTATTGCCATTGAGCTTTTAAAATATTTAAATTAAATAATTAATTTAAAAAATAAATAAAATAACTAAACGAATTAAAATAATAAATTATACAATTATCGTGGATCATAACTCTATAGCCCTTCCTTTACATTCTAATCTGAGGGACTCAAATATCTCCTGATCCTAAAACTAGACATGTACTTCTGGGAACCCCTCGTCTGTGTGGTTTTTAGCACCCCCATTACTCTCAGCACCCTTCTGCTAAGGCTATTCCCTAGAATATAGGTTATCATTGCCATCAAAAAAGTTGTCCAAGTTGAACATTAGAAGTAGGGAAAGCATCCTTAAAAACATTATAGACAAGCATACAAGGAATTTCAAAAAGCAAAGGTGAGAGAAAATTTTGCCAAAAAAAAAAAAGAGGAGGTTGAAGGTTAATATAGACGTAACAATAGTAGCAGTTCTAGGTAAAACCACTACTATATAGTAGTGGTTTAGGCCAAAAACCTCTACTTGAATCATAGCAAGTGTAATATCATGAATTTCTAATCCCGAAACTAATTTCTAATTAGGGATAAATTAGTAATTTAATAAATTAATTGGAGATTGAGATTTTTGGATGGTAAATTGATGTTTTGATATGTTGGAATGTTAAATGAATAAGATTGAGTGGAAGAATGCCGTTTCGGAGCAAAGCACATAAGCATAGTGAATTTTCTTCATTGTGGCATGTACTACTTGTGCCATGGCATATGGCACAAAACTTTGAATAAATTGACATGGTCAGATCATGAAAACAAAAGGAGAGGGAGAGAAAATGGACGAAGGAGAATGAGAAGAAGATTTTGTCTATTACGGCAAGAAAGTTTAGACCGTTGTAATATATTTTTGACTAGTTGCTTATCAGGTGAGTTTTGTATCATCTTAAGCTTCGATTCTATCCTAATTTCTCTTAATTTAAGTTATAGAGTGATCAAACCCTTAGTTGCTTTAGTTCACCAAGTTTAACTAGAATGTAGTATTTAGCACTCTAGGTCATTTCCCATAGGAGCAATGCATACAAATTCTTGATTCAAATGCTACAAATTAAGAAAGTGAAGATAATGGTTTCAACTCTATCTAATCTAAATGCAAAGTTTAAATGTTTATAGTTTTTGTTTTGAATGTGATGAGTTGAATGATTAAAATGGAGAGCCCAAGTAAGAATCCTTAGCATTTATCATTGAATTCCATAATTGAATCAACAATAACAACCTCGATTAACCTAAGTTAGAACACTTAGAGCCATTAAGTGTAGTGTATCATTGAACTTAATGAACACTTAGGGATTTAGGTTAATTGAATCAAAGTGAAATATTGTGTTCAGCCTTGTCAATATGCACAAGTTCTTGTCAACTCATATAGATCTAACTCAAGTATAAGATAAACTTTAGACAAGGATTCAGCAAGAACACATGAACAAACACTAGAACATCAAGTCAATTCATGAATTCTAGATCTAAACACAATAACCTCATCTAAACATAAATTAGAATCAAGCATCTAAACCAATTACATATTCAAAATTCTCAAGAAAACAAGAAAAGATCATGAAATTGAGAAAGTAAGTGAAGAATACAAATCTAGAAAACTCAAAATGCTAAGTCATCTTCCTTAGAGCTCAAGGTTGTTTAGCCTCTCATGCTCTTCTTCTTTACTTGAATCATACTTTGAGCTTGAGAAACCTTCATAAATGTAGAAATATGTGGCTGTGATGAGGTGAGATTAATGTAGAGCAAGGAGAATAATAGACAAAAATGATGCTGGATGAAGGAGATGAATAAATCAAAATGGAGAAATGAAGAGAAGAGATGAGGAATTGAATCTAAAAATGGAGAACAAAGCTGGAAATGGCATGAATCTTGAGAGCTGGAGATGAATTTCTGGATCTGGAATTGAGAGAGAGTGAGTTCTTTAGAGATGAAGAAAAAGATGAGAGAAGTGAGAGAATTTCAGCTGAAGAGAGGGATTGGGATGTGAATTATTAGGCTTTAAAGTGAAATGGAAGCTTAAGTATGAGTGAGAAATTTGAGTGAGGGTGATAATTATAATGCTAGATGGTGATAATTCCAAAGCTCACATCTAAAATGTGAATTTCCAGCTAGAGAAATGAATTAAAATTGAGCAAAATAATCTAGAAATTGAGGGAATAAGAGGTGCCTAATGAGCTGGCAAAGGAGCATGAACCATGTGACTTAAGTAAAGGAAATGTGACTCAACGAAGCCCTTGATCAAATGCCACATCACTCCCTCTTAGATTTAGATTGTGTCACGCCATTCATGCTTAGCTTTGCCTCCATGATGTGTCTTCAATGCTTCACATGCACTTTGGCTTTTATTTATTTATTCTTCCTCAAATTAATTTTTGAAAATGGTATGCCAACTTAGCCCTTTAATTAGGGAATTATAATGCCACATAAACCCTCTCTTGCTCTTGAATTCTCCAATGATGTTGACTTAGTCTTTGCTCCTTGATTCCAAATTTTCCCTTACAAAAATCTAAAGATTAAAGACATAAAACTAAATAAATTCTAGAAAGAGAATTAAAAAGGAAATAAAAGAGAATTAAAGCCCAAGGTATCAATTTAGGGTTTATGAGTGACAAATCAACATCAATTGGCAAGTTTAGGGTTCATATAGTCAATATAGAATAGCTCAAAAATTGAAAATAGATACTAATATGCACAATTTGATGCCAAAAATTAAGTGTTTTAGTATGTAAAATATGTGACAGATCATAGAGAAATTGAATTATGGAGTTTTTAAGGGGTTGATTTATTACCCTTTAGTAATAAAAAGATTCTTAGGAATCAATCTAAAGTTTTGTGACTAGCTTGGGAATTGACAATTAAGCTTTTAGGCAATTATTAGATAGAGAGGCGTAACGGACAATTAAAAATTTTAAATCCCTATCTTGATGTAGACTGGACGAACTCGTTTAAATCAGGATAGATAGAACGAGTACCTTTTACTTTTCATGCTTCATGTGTTGTCTTTAAGAAATTGTATCTTTATGAGCTGACAATGTAGATCTGCTGCCTTTACCAATATCCATACAAATAGTTATCCAACTCAAGTGGCATGCTAGCGCTTGAAAATGTCTGTCCGTTTTTCTCAAAATGTTGAACTACTTTTTCTCTAGGGTGTTTTGTGGCACTCAATGTGTTTCACCGTTAAGACTTTTCTGACTCTCATACATCCATCAAGCACGTCCCTATCTATATATAATATATAGATTAGGGTTTTCACCTTTCACTTAAAGATCCCACGAAAATTTAATTAAATTTATCTCATAAATTTAATTTATGATATCATATCTAATTCAAATTTATCTTATAAATTCAAATTATATAACTGACATGATATTCTCTTATATCATGTTAGTTATTTAAATTTAATCTATCACATAAAATTAAATTTAAACTAACATAACATAACATAACATCATATATCACATATACATGATATATTTTATATATATGAATATATATATACATACATATATTTCGAAAATATATGTATATCAGATATATATATATATATATTTAATTTCATATATCATATATATATATACACATATCATATATATATATAAACATGAATATATATATATATATTTATCAAATAAATATTCAAATATATATATATATATATATAATTTGTTCAACCTAGAAAAGCATTACATTCATTGAATCTAGATACATTCTAGATTCAATGAACTTGAACATTATAACTCGAGTTGGGCTATTCTTGTGCGCGACCCTGTAAGTCCACATGAAGCTGGCAGCAAGCTAATTATACTGCTAGCCAACAAGTCACAAGTGACCTCTAGTAAGACATTGCAACTACCCAATTTATATGGAGGTTGATGATCTGATGTAACCTATCATGTAATCGTATCACATCTCTTTTATCACGCAATATTTTGATCAAGTTCGAGACATGAAATTGTCATTCTCCGTTACCTAACCGTTACTTTCTTAATCTCTGAGTGGACTGACTAACAATAGAGAAAACCTTTTTCATTATAGTATGGCCATATATTTTCTCAGTCTTACTCATCGAGGGGCCCAGTCATATCTCTCAATTAACATAAGGGACAATTTCTGTAAAGTCCCGACTCAAACCTGGGCTTTACCATTTCACACCACACAATTAATAAATCAAAGTCAGAGTAATAGCCTTTTATTTGTTTTCAAAACGTAGGATCCCGACCTTTTAAAGCATATGTTCAAATAAGAGTGTTAGCAAAAGCGTAAACACAGTCAAACAACTTAAAAAGTCCTAAACTTTCAATCCTGAAAAAAGGCCGTGTGCTGCAACATGCAACATATGCATTGTGGCATATGGCACAGAGCCACGTGCTCTATTTTTGACTGCATAATGTGCCACGACAGGCACATTATGAGCTGCGACACACCTACCTAAACTTTTTGCTGTCATTTTAACAGCAAAAATGACAAACTTTCAGTGTGCACTATTTTCACACCTGATGTCTGATTAGAATGATTTAAGCGCCCACACAAAGCTTATCACGTATACTAGCTAAGGGAATAAGTTTGGACTCGATCTGATAGTCCAATATAAAATTAGATACCTGGGTGTAAAAAGTTACTTTTCTTTCAAACACTTACACCCTAAGTGCTCGATTCTTATTCCTTGTCCCATTAGACCACATACACCTGATTAACACTGCACATATTAAATATCACATTAATAGCCCATTTTGGCCTCTCAAAGCCACATTACACAATTGTGGTCTTATATGAGGAACTCAGATGTACAACTCATATAAGCAAATAGAACTAGACTTCTGTCACTTTCAACCCTCTGACTCTTACATATAGGGCTCCATCTTACCATATAGTCGAGAATCACAAATGTACTTGACTCTTCCAAATAGGGCTACACCTCACCATTTGTGTTGAGTTCTTATCATTTGTGTCAAGTTCTCACATAAAAACACAATTTACATTCAATTCATATTCAAATCACCATCAACATATTATCATCCCATAATCATCACATATATACATAAGTGGATTAATTTACAACACAATATATACTTGCTTGATTCACATTTAAGCCTACCCATGTATCCTCCACTAGGACACCTCGGTATAATCAACATCATATACATACATATAAGCAAGGTTCACAACATAATTCAACATACAATCACTTATGCATCATAGTTGGCAACTTAACTCAATAAACAACTTTATACATTCATTTCATTCAAATGATAGTCATACCACTACCAATTGAGACTACTCTTTCCTTGCTTCCTTTCTAAACCTTCTCACGCTCTCTTCACCTATGTTCAAAAATAACAGAGTGAGACATATGTCCCAATAACTTGGAGGTAACCCTAATTACCAGTTAATAAGAAAAATCATAAACAAGCAATAAAGTAGCATGTATATTAATAAAACAATAACATATACATATATAGGAATCTACTCCATCAATCTCATTATGATTATGCAATGCATTCTTAATTCCCCCTAGTAGAGTAATCTCTACACCCAGACCAAGACTTCTTGTTATAAGGAACAAGGCCCACCATATCACTGCTCAGACCAGGTACTTTGTATGGGTGGTCTCTTAGGTCCATCATGACGGAGTCAAGCTTTACACTCTAAATCATCAAAACTTCCTAACCTTATACAGAGTAAGACCACGACCCCCTATCATAGTCTAAGATAACCTTGTCGATCATTTAATATCTTAGTTCCATCATGGCGGAGTCAAGTTCTACGCTCTAGATCATCAAGATTCTTCTCCTAAGTCTGTCCTGATCGAGTCAAGCTCTACACTCTAGATCATCATGACTTCCTAGACCTCCTCACGATAGGACCACGTTTCCTCCTACCATAATCTAGGGTATATCTCATGGATGTGATGCATGTCAGTGCACGTGCCACCTCAAAATTAATTTCAATCAATACTCACACACCCGCATGCATATATTTCATAATGCTACTACTCTATCAGTTCACAATATAATGCATGTAGTTATATCAAAATACTTGCAAATAATTTCACAAACAAACAAGTAAAAAGATTACTTCAGTTACCTCTAACCCTTGCTATTAAGGGTTACCAATCATACTAAGCTCCCAAGGGTATAGATTCTCACGAGCAACTTCACAGGTGCTCAATCTACATAACACAGTGCCCCTCAGTCAATTTCCAACAATTTCATCAACATTGATTCGGTTAAACTAAATCTCTTAACACATGAAATAGTTTAATTAGACCCTTTTCAATTCACTTATCTATTATTTATAGTCATTAGCCCTATAGACTATCCAAATGACCATAATAATCTCCTAACACATTTATTCAATCACTTTCTTCCTTTAACCTAACTTTCTTAGGCCAAATGGGCTTCAATCTTTAAAGCTCAACTATTCAACTACATACTGGTCACAAAACCTTAGTTCTGTATTCGATATCCCGTTTTAACTCTTTCTTTTAGATGACAACACCTCAGAATCTCATAATTTGATTTCTCAACTAATAAAATTCAATAAAAAAGGGGTAGAATTAAAGCTTGGGATTGCACGATACTTACCTAACAAGTTATCAATTGAAGCAGACTCCTGAGCTCTAATTATGGCTTACCCTAATAGAGATGGCCTTCTTTTCCCCACCAGACGTGTCTCTAGCCTTTTCCTTTCTAATTTCACAAGCTAATCACATCAGCTTTAAGTAATCCCTGGATGGTACGCCATGGCGCGTAGCACGGTGAGAAAATTGTCACTTGTGCTCGCGCATTTTGCCTCGAACTATCTTTCCACCCTTTAATCCTACCATTATGACATCCAATCAACACAAATTATTAACTCAACATTCAAATCACAATCAACCCCTTAATTACTAATTCACCCTTGGTTAGCAACTAGTTCTTGAGACTGAAATTTAGGATGTTATAAATTATATCTTGACCACTCATATTCCTCTGCATAAATATTGTTAAACTCAATCATAGCCTTTATGATCACCCAGTCAAAGGTGACTTTTGACTAGGTCAAAGTTCAATGGTCATCATGTAGGAATCAATAATGATCTCAGGTCAATGGGCTTAGTGATAAGGTTACATATGAGATAAGCTTATGACATGTAACATGTAGCTTTCTCATAGTGGGTCAATCCAACATCTTGTACTCTTTCAAATGCCTACAACTTTGATTTATATCTATATAATTAATCAAAGTTATACTAGTCTTGTTTCATCTATGATCCCTCATAGATGACTGATCAGGGATATTTAGGACAATCACTATAGTTTATCCAAGGATATAGTTATCATAATGAATATGCAATTAATATGATAATTAAAGAGAAATTCATAAAATAACAATATTTTATTGTACAATGATTGACCTTAAAGAACAATTTCCAACAGTGACAAACTTAATTTGCCCTAAGTTAATAAATTGAAAAGTGGTGGAAATTTGGTGTAAAGTGTTTTAAAGCTAATAGAAGTTATAGAAACGTTAACGAGAACAGTTAGAACCTAAAGTAGTTAAGTGAAAGGAAATAAACAGTTAATTATGGGTTATAGAGATAATTATTACTAATTTATGTAGATTGATGTGTTGTGTAACATCCCAAATGCTTAATTCGAATGCTAAATGTTAATTTAAAGATAAATTGATACATTAGTGGATCAATTAGATAATCAAGATTTTGAATGGTGAATTGCTATTTTGACTTATTAGGATGTTGAATGACTAGGTTTGAGTGGGAGAATGGCAATCTGATGCAAAACATGTGAGCTATAATAAGAAGTTTCTCACTACGCCATGCACTGCAGCGTAAAGCACAAAAATTTAATTAATAAGGACGTGAATTAGACAAGGGAAGATAGAGAGAGAGAGAGAGGAAAAGAACACGAGAAAGGGGGAAGAAGGCCAGTTCTACTAGGACAAGGGATCTTGGTGCACTGGGAGTCAATTTTGACTAGTCGCTTACCAGATAAGTTTCATACTGCCCTAAGCTCATATTCTATACTAATTTTTCTTAGTTTGGGATTAAAAAAATTGAATTAGGGAGTTTTAAGGGATTATTTTCTTATGCTTTAGTATTAAAAAGGATCTTTGGAGTTAAACTAAAAGATTGTGACTAGTTGGGTGATTGTTGGTTAAGTTACAAGATTATAGGTTCAATTTGACCCAAATTGTGAGGTGTGACGGGATAAAAATGTTTGTATGGATGGTGAAGGAGATAATAGAAGTGGTAGAAGGCTTGAGGAGAGTAATTAGGACCTAAGAGTATTAAGTGGAAGAGACTAGGTAGTTAATTGTGATTTGCTGTGACAGTTAGCATTTGTGGTCAAGTTGGCAATTGACATGTAGTGATAATTTGTTGCTAAATTTATATATGGGTTAAAATTAATTTTTATTCTTAAACTATACTTTTAGGTAGTGTCTTACATTCCACTTTGGCACATTCTTTATTATCGTATGAAATTTCTTTTTACAATTTAGTATCATTTAATCCATTCATTAAAATAAAATTGTTTCACATGATTCAAAATGATATCTACTCTCTCGATCCTGACTTGCAATAGTTCTTTTTTTAAAAAAAAAAATGTATGCTGGTTTTTTTCTTTTTTTAAATACTCCTACCTCTAATCATTTATGTTGGAGTAATTTCAATGTAGCATATAAGTCCTTCACAATGTGATGAAACAAGATTCGAATCCTTACTATGAATATCCGATGGTGCACCAAACAAACTTGCATCTAATAAAAACAAGTATTTTAGGGGGAAAAAAAATCAACACAGCGTATACATCATACAAAAATCTAACTATACTAGTATTATGAAAAAAAAAACAAATAATAAATATAGGGTGCAAATGAGATTGAGTGCTACATTTAGAAACAAAACAAACTCCAACTAGCTCTTACATTTTGGACTGTGGAGTATTAAAAATCAATCCAAACTTGTCTTCCCAACAATCCAAGTAACCTTGATATTAATTTCTTTTTTTTTTTTGAAACAACATAACTTTTGAATTCCTGCATTTTACTCGTATTTTATTATAGATTCTTGTACTTTTTTTAGTATTGTAGATCCTTACACTTTTATTTTTTAATATTCTACGTCCCTCCATAAATAAAATGTAGAGACCTTGGAATGACTTAAAGTATTAGAAAAATAAAAAGATAGGGATCTATAATACTAAAAAAAGCAATACATAAACTTATAGCAAAACAGAAGTAAAGTATAAAAATTAAAAGTTATATTTTTTTATATTTTTTTATATTTTAACCATACTTACAACAGTTGCTAAAATGTTCCCTTACAACTAGTATTGATGTTACTTTGCATTACTTAAATTAATAATTAACAATTCAACTTGCTCTTACATTTAGGCCTTGGTTGGCATGCTCTGCAATATTGTACTAAGACCCAAATAAATAAATAAATTTATAAATTAATATATGTATATATGCACTGAATACTTTTAGTTAGACATGCTTATTTATTTCCTTTTCAATCTTTAAAAGAATGAAACAAAACAAACAAAATGATAAAGGAACCCACTACCTTCCTTCTTTCTTCTTTTTTTTTTCCTTTTTTAATTAAACAATACATAAATAAATAAATTATTAAGTTGTAGTGATGTCTTGCCCAAGGTTGAAGGGTGGTCCTCTCCATTTTGATTTTGGCTTGTGGGACACTGCTGCTGCCCCTCACTGGACCACTTGCATGCCTTTGCCAACATTTTGAGTATTTGTTTCCCCTCCATTATAATATTGACACAATTGAGAAATTTTTACACCATCTATACTCTATCTAATAAAAATATATTATGTCAGATAATTGCAAATATAAATTTATTTTGCTATTGATGATAATAGAAAAAGAGAAAAGACAAGAAATTAAAGAAGTACTTTATTTCAAAAATAAAGTTATTAAAAATAATAATATTTAAAATTTTATTTAATTATTTAAGTACAATTTTATCAGACAGAGCATGACTAGCATGGTGCAACGTATCTATGCAAAAATTTCTCTATTGAGAGCCTACTTAAATTGAAGTTGATGTTACTAATGAATATAAACTATAAATACGATAGAAAGACAATTCATGACTATTCTATGTTTTCCTACATTTTTAAACGGCATTAAATATTAGAAAATAAGTATGCTATTTTAAAAATATTATCCATCACATGCAGATCCTAAGAGAGAAGATATTTAGTTGTAAATAAATATATAATAGTAAATTATAGGAACTTGCTTTGAGTTTTGCTTATTCAATTTTCTTTTTACACAAATAATAAGCCATATATTTAATTCTAAATAAATTATTGAGTTTTGCTAATTAAATATATAAGATATATTATACATATTTTAGTTGTACAATGTTTAAAACCGAAGTGTCTAATTTACTTTACACAAGGCCAAAACTTTTAATTTATTGGACATTAAAAACTTCAAATTATAGATCTATCAGGCTCTCACATGAAAATTTCTTGATTTTCTATCAAAACTTGTTGACAATTAGAACTAACATATTGTAATAAAGGATTAATCTATTTGCATTTAATAAAAATCTTTCTTTTAAATTTATATAAAAAAACTTTCCTTTTTTTTGACCAACTATAAAAATATTTCCTTTAAAAAAGCAGTACTGAGCCAACAAATTCAACCTCATGAGCTAGATCATGCTTTAAATATTGACGGAAACGTTAAAGAAAAAATATATATTTCACAAATCTGTTGCTGGATTAGCAGAGTCCATGGGGCTGACGTGTTTGGCATTCTTTTTAAACATCTTCAGCAAATAAATTATAATTACTATGAGAAGCCAAACATCTCTCTCATGCAAACAAACATGATCTCAATCATTAAATATTATGATTGTGTTTGATGAAAGTGTAGTTAAATGAAAGCCTCCCAAGGGGATAGAAAGAAAAGAAAAGAAAAGAAAAGAAAGAAGGCTTAAACTAAATTGCATGGTGGGGCCCACCTACACTAGACCCATGTGATTTCACAAGAGGGATGCATTAAATATAATGAGCCATACAACTTTGAGTTCAATGAATAATAATAATACAAGCGTTAGCATGAACATATAAATACCATACAAGGCATTAAAAAAAAAGCCATATAAAGATAAAATATTATGGCAAAAATGTGTAGTTTAGTAGTAGCCTACTTAACCCATCATGATTTAGTTTCAGAACAAATGTTAATTTAAGATTGGTGATTAATTATTGTATATATAGATTAGGCTAAACATCCAATCCATCAAAATCTTTGATGCCTAGGCTCTTTCTAACCCATCATTACAAATGAATTAGAAAGACCAAATTGAGAAGCTTGTGGCTTATGGGTTTATACTTGGATTCAAATACATGTTCATTTCTATAATATTTTTATCACTCACATGGATAGTGGTAAAAATTGTCAAAAAAACAACACTCTGAAATTCTGATTTGAATTTTCAGTGACATATAGTTATCATGAACATTTCTCCTACTTCTATTTATAAATTATTTTCAACATATTTCACTAGAATAAGAAAAACTTTAAATCTTATTAACTCTATCTTAAATTTTAACAAGTTCCCACTTCTACCTTCTAATAAAGACCAAAACAAAAACTGTTTTTAATAATTTTTTAACATTTAATAAAGACAAAAAAAATAAAGATAAATATAGAAAATAGAGAAATTATCTATAAATATTTCCTAGCATTTAATAAGAGCATAAAGATAAAAATGAATATGAAAAATAGTAAAGTATCCCATAAATAAGATCTAAATTAATTCTACCTTAAAAAAAAAAAGATCAAAGCAATATGACTAAATTCTTTTTCCTTCCAAAACATATTCATTTCATTTAATCATGCAATTATCTAGTATTTAGAGAGAAAAAGGATCCCACTTCCTCATTTCACAATCATCTTGCCTTTTGTGAATTGTCCATTTTATGCATAAAATCAATTAGACATGTCTTCCATGTCACATACTAAGCTTAAGAAGAGCCGAACTATTTATGACTTGTGAAAAGAAATGAAAATTCAAGAAGCACAAGCAATAAAGAGGCTTGGACTCTGGTGTTCATAGCAATCAAGTGCTTTGTCCCCAAAAATGATGGGACGATTGAAATTATGACATCCTAAAGTATGATTATGTCACAACTAAAGCATGGTGCTCATTACCAATGCAGTATTACCTTTTTGCTTGGATAAGCATGACCTGCGTTTTCTCCAACCTTATGATCAAGGTCGTGTTTAGACCTACTCACTCATACACTGTCCTGTAATTTTCAATCTTTTGAAATGAAAATGTTCTTAACGCAATATGACAATACAAGGACGATGAGTGAATGTTGTGCATAGATTCAACTTCCTCACAGTTAACCAAAAGCTTCTTCCCTTTCTTTCTTAGGTTTCTAGAAACTATATTAACCATATAAACATGAAAATTTCTGATACATGTGACAGTTAAATGTATCTGATATATACTAATGATTTCAAGATGACTGAAGATATATAATATAATCAGACGCTCAAACTCTGATTAGTAATATCTTCAACAGAGAGACATGTCAGTGGAAGAAAGGTATCTAACTTTTACAGGGACAAATGTCTTACTTTCTTCTCAAGTAGAATGATCAAGAATTTAGGCAATATAAGTAGAATTAAATGCATGAACAGAATAATGGCCATATTGAAAGTAAGAGTACAAGAAGTCTAAAACATAAAGATAGCTCATAAAATGACATCCAGTTGCTGATTGAAATGTTTACTTCCCTCAATGGAAATGATAAGCCTAGAACACATAGACAATTAGCATTGAACCATAGTAGACAAATTCAAAGACAAAAAAGATCAACAGAAGCAGTAAGTTCTCGAGCACCTTTTTCAATTTTTAAACATTAATTGGGTAGTACTTTGCTCCAACGATTGAATTGCCTCTGCTTAGCAACCCCATGTTGAAACTGAAATTAGTTCCTTCCTCTGCCAGTAAAGAACAAGAGAAGACTGCTTCTTCTCCACGTGAAATCCCCTTCCAGGATTCCTCTGAACCAAACACTCCGCTTGAGATTCTGTGAAGTTACTCAGTGCCAACGGTGAAAACCCAGATGTTAGTAGCAGGGTTTTCCATTGTGGTGTTCTTTCTCGCAATTGCAACCTGTGCCGACCCAGGACTAGCTTCTCCATTGCTGGTTGAATAAGGTACTTCTCAATCATCTGAAGGACATCAAGGTTCATATTAACAGCATCAAGTGACTCAAGAAGCACTGAATAAGATTGAAGCGCGTAAATCAAGTGTTGAGCAAACGGTGCATCAGTTCGATCACAAGGTCTATCCACAGTGACAACAATTTTCGGCATGAGCTGCTTCAGAAAACGGAGGACCAGAGGGAGATATGATGGGCAATGTGAGAAGGAAGCAATGGGCAAGCTTACAGCAATGGCTTCACAATCTCGAAGTGGTTGTGGCCAGGAAGCAGTGTTCAATAACTCGAGTCCTAAAATCTCAAGTTCGAAGGGAATGCTAAGATCAGAAGCATATTGTTTCAGAATCTCTTGAGTGAAACCAAGCTCGAAGTTGTCGTGATTAGAGGGTGAAACAAAGGCAGTGATTTTCAGAGAAGGGGAACCACCATTTCTGAGAGCTAGCTCTTGCATGAAAGAAGCCCACTGTCCACCAACCCCAATGTCAAAATCCACTACATGGATTCTATCAAACCCTTCAACAGCTTCAAGAAGTGCTTGGTTACAAGTGAAATTGGAGAACTGGAGAACTGGTGAGATTTCTGAGAACGATTTGCAAGCTCCAATCTTGAGGACAAGGCCACTAGGAGAGAAGGTCAAAGAATTGTCGCTGTTGGAATTGTCCAAATGGAAAAGAAGCGATTGCAAGGCCTCCTTCATGTAAAAAGCAGCCCTTTGAAAAGGCTTCCCAGTTGGAGAAAGTTGGTGATTGAGCCGCGCCAATATCCCTTGCGCGAGTTCCGGATTACCGGTTTCGATCATCTCTGTGGCCTTGAACAGCTTGTCCATAACACTCTGCTGAAGCTGGTGGGTCACCAATTCTTCGCCAGGGCTCGCCATTCTCTGCTTCGGAGCCATCGCCGCCACCGGAGATGCCTGCCGTTGCTGCTGCAGATGATGATGATGATGATAATGAGGAAGCAACTGAAGCGGCGGCGGTTGCTGCCCCCGCCGGAGATATATCTCCTGTCCAGGATCTAGAAATGGCGGCTTCAGAACCTGGTAATTTGGTCTGATAGGACCGCAATTAGGCCGTTTTGCCGGAGGCTGAGGAAGAAGCTGATGTTCATATGACAAGGGCATAACGAACGACGAATTCTGCATAAACTGAGCTTGATTTGGGTTAACAATGAACTGAGGATTGAGGATTTGTGGCTTCTCGTCCAGAGACTCCATAGCTTGCTGGTGTTGCTGAGGCTGAAACATTCCCGGAGGAAGCGAAGTTGGTGACGAAGGGAAAATGGGGTTTTGGTTCACAGATGAACCAACTCTCGCCATATTATTATTGAAGCTAACGTTGTGGATGGTATTAAAAGGAAAATCAGAACAATTCCCAGAAGCGTCAATGCTGCTTGCGAGATTAACACCAGAAAAATGGTCAAGAACAGAGCTTTGATCCACAACACCGAAACCGCCTCCTCCTCCGCCATTGAAATCGACAACATCTTGGTGAGAACCAGTCCCACCCTGCAAAAGCTTGCTCAATCCCACAGATGGGTCTTCAATGTCACCCATAATCATCCTCAGGATGGACTGATCTTGACCAGGCGACTCAGACAAGACGCTCTCCCAGTCCTCCATTCCTATCCCACATCTTTCCAGCCCCGCCGGCAGAGCGGCGTCTAACGCCGTCTGAGGATGTGGCTTGTCGCCGGAAACCTTCGCTGCGCCCGTGGAACTGTCAGTGGAGCCGGTGGCGCCGCTGCAGCTGCCGCCACCGCCGTGTGAGGAAGACAGTGTGGAGGAGGAAGTCGGAGGGCTTGGGTTTCTTCTGACGTTCAAAACAGAGATGGGCTCAGTGCCCACATAGCAATGCTCTTGAAGAATATTGTCGTGATGATGATGGTGATTATGATTCCACTTCAAGAACGAATCTGGAGCAGCAGAACCAAAATCCAGAACCCCTTTCCCTCGAAATTCCTCAAAGGGTAGGGGCACAGCCTTCATCTAAATCTTAACCCTCAACAAGATAAACAAGAACTAGAACTCCACCTCCTCCTCCTCTTCAAACCCAGAAAACGAACAAGACGAAACCTTTCCAGATTTTTTCTCGAGAAAATACAGTCTCTTCAGCGGAAAACTCCGAAATGGTGGTGGGGGAAACAGAAAATAAGATCTGGGCTTTGATTTGAAATCAAAATTTCTGTCTGACACAAGAAACACTTGTCAAATGCATGCAGGGTTCTTCAACAGACCCATTCCAGCACACACAAGAGCCTCATCTCTTCCAATCTCATCCCTGTTCATGTTTTCTGCCTCCTTTCTTTCCCTCCTTTTTTTCCCCCTTCTCACTCTAAATATTGGGCTCTATTTTCTATGACATAACTCACAGACCTATTTTTTTTGTTGTTCTTGTGCTAAGTAAAAATCTTTTAAATGGGGTTTCTTTCCATCTTTCTGTCCTTCTTCCCCTTGTCTGTGTGGAGTACTCTGTCTTCCTTGTGTTTTCTGCTATGGATGCGTGCAACATATAAAAGTGGTAAAGTGCTCTCCCTCCCTCCCTCCCTCTCTCTCTCTCTCTCTCTCTCTCTTCCCTTCTTCTTCTCTCTCACTGCCTCTTTCTCTTTCTAGTCTCTATCTGTAGTTTATAAATTTATAATTTCTTTTATGTGGCTTTTGTCCATAGACGTAGTTATCTCCCATGGTAGGGTCTCTATCAAACTCCTTTGTCCCCACTCGCCAGATGTCGTTGTAGTGCGCACATTTTTTTTATTTTTTTCCGAAAGTTAAATCAAAATCTTCACACCAAAAAATTTAAATCAAGGACAAAAAAATCTTATAAACTATTAAAAAAATAATATTTTAACAAAAATAATTAATTTTTTAGAAAATATTCCTTTTTTATTAATTTTTCTCCCTCTCAATAAACACTTGGTATTAACATATTTTTCAAAGAATAAAATTTTGATTATTAGATCCAATTCTCCAATTCATTCTTGTCATATGAATCTTTTATTATTAATGGTGATATAACAGAATTTTAAACTTATCCATGTGTTTCTATAATCAAAAAAATTCAAATGTCAAATTTTGATTGAAAAATTAAATATAATAAAGATAAGTAAATGAATACAATTTTTATTTTTAAAAAATTTGTATGTATGTCCAGGCCAAGAAAATCGTATTTAAATACATTATAGTATTTAATTCATAAAATTTTTTATATTTTATTATAAATTATAAATATGTGCCCCCATTGCAGTTAATTTTAAAATTGTCGTGAATGTGAATCTGGCAGGTACTTTGTACATTATTATATGTTGTACAGTAAAGAAGTGCCTTCACGATCTTTGAAGGCGCGTGACACAATGGTTCTGACGGTTTTTATTTTCCTTTTCCTGAAATCCTTTTAACAGAGACCAACGATACAGATTTAAAAGGCGAACTGGGCTCACAGGTTTTTTCATAATTACTTTATTCCCCCATCTTACCCCTGAACTTCTCACTGCCCTACGCTGAGAACAGGGTAAAAATAGGGGTAATATGGTAAAGTAAAGAACAACTGCTGCTGGGCCTGTTTTTCGAAACTGAATCTGACGACACGAGATAATGAAAGCTTTTTGCGGGATTTTTACATATCGAGGCAGATTTTTGACGGACAAGATTGTTTGTCAATGGTGAGAATGTGTGGCTGAGATCTATCGGAGTGGATTTTAATGACCGATTAGGAAAGAAAATAAAATAGGTCTGTCTCAGGGTACGGATTTTGAATCTGGGACCAAATGGGTCTAGTCATTTTAGGAGCGAGGGTACTTTAGTCACTTCAGTACGAAAAGGAACGGGTAAATTCGGAAATTTACGTACCAGGGGGATGCTAGGCTACTTGTAATAGCTCGGCATACAGAGTCAGTTTGAAATACAAAGCCTATTTAAACCCAGAAAGGAGGGGGAGGGGAAAGGCTTTCATGGTATAGTATCAAAAACTTACAATTCCTTGATTAGCATGCAATAAAATTAAAACGACACGAAGAAAACTAGTATGGTTTTTTATGACCCACGTTCAGTATATGTATATGTAGTATACACGTAAAATTTACAATTTCTTCAATAAATATATGTATTATGTGTATCATATGCCCTAATCTCATAATTACTAATTTTTCCTAATAATTAATAATATTACTTTATTTTGCCATTCAACTTTTTTATTATTTTCTTCATTCATAATTTTCATGGCGCATGTAAAAAATATCATACATTTTATACTCATTATTTTTTTGTGATTATTTATTTTTTAATTTAAACTAACTTTTTTTCCTTCTATTTTCTTTTCCGTTTTTCCCACTTTACTTCAATTTAGAAAAAAGAGAAAACTAAATTCTCAAATGGTTCTTCGCACAATCACACTCAAGTGAGATGAGCCCAAAATTTTGCTCTACCTAATAATTCTCTGCAATGAGTCTGCGTCTTGATTCAATTTTACTATTCGACTCAACTAAAATTTGTCTCCCTCACGACGTTTGCATCACTCCCTTCAAAGTCCAATTGAATGATTGTTGGTTGCTTACATTGAGAAAGAATTTTTTTATGGTATTAAAAATGAAAAAATTATTCAACATTGCTAAAATATAAAACCTCATAGGGAAAGCTTACTACTAAAAAAAAAAAAAACCCTCCCGAGGGAAACTTATGATATATATTCAAATTTTTTTAGTATATGTTAATATATGATGCCCCCATGGTTCAAATTTATAGATCCATCAGTGATGATCTTTATGCAAGGATAACATGCAAAAATCAAGAAAATTATAAACTTATAAACATCGCACGTGTTTAATGAGGAATCCATACATCCTTAATTGATCTTGTAGTCCCCCCCCCCATGTATAGCTAAGAATGGTAGGAGTAGAGCTAAGAAACGGGCAAATCAAGCACATATGAGCCTAGCTCTTATGAGCTTAAGCCTAGTTACCCCAAAATCATTTGAAACTTATCTTATAACGTTCTAAATTTTAAGTTGTAAGTAAATTGTGGAAATTGAAATTTTATTGAGGATTTTAAAATGTGGTTTGATATTTCTTTGAGGTTTGAATTGGGAAATAAATTTTGTTAAAAGTTATTTGAGATTAATCTAATGCTTAGACACTTAAATATGGACTAAAATGGGCTTAGAGTCATGTATGAGGATTAATTAGAGTCCAAATGAGGTATTGGGCTTAACCTAATCCAACATAGTGGATTAAGTTAAGGTGTTGTGTTTTGTGTCATCCATTACGACACAAAATGCATCCCTCATGGCAGATGACACAAAACGAACACTTATGCGTCTGTCATGTGGCAGACTCAAAGAAGAGGGAAATTTGGAGAGTTTGGGTGATTTTGTGAGGGCTCTATTAGTCTTGGGAGAATTATATTAAAATCCCACATGATGAAATTAATTACTATAAGGTCCATTGACAATTGAACCAAATTGCATTGACAAATAGTTGTGTTGTCAATGTAATTTAATTCAATTGCCAATGGACCTTGCACTAATTAATTTCTTTGTGTGGGACCTGGTAGTAATTCTTTCATTAGTCTTTTAGAGTTTCTAACCCTAAATCACATTTTAAGGCTCAAATTACTCAAGGTAAATTTGTTTAATCATTCTCCTACCTTCTTTCTATTAGTTTAATCAGTGACCAGTAGTGAGGTTTTATCTTTTATGATGCCCAAACCTTAGATCCAAACATTATAGGGTTCTTGAGATTAAATAAGTGTTGTATAGATAGTTTTGAGCATTGTTCATGGTAATGGGAGTGTTGTATCCTAAACCCTAGGTGTTGATGGGTGATTTTTAATGATGATTTGAGGTTGTGAAGCTAAATAAATTATTAATTAGTGTAATGATGATGAATGTAAGTGTGTGTAAGGATTTAAATATTTATGATAGCTTGGGGTCAATTAGGTTAATTAACCTAACTCTAAAATTAGTGTGCAATTAGAGTTTAAGCACTATAATTAGTCATAGTTAGCATTGTATTCTTATTAATTAGCATTATATATTGTGTAAATTGTGATGTTAACACCCTAAGAGGTGGTCACTCTCTTGTTTGGGGAACTTTGCTTAAGGTAACCACTTATATTATGTTATGATGTGTATTTTGTGGTTGGTTATATGTGTTTTGTTATGAAATAAATTGTTTTTGAAAGCTTTATGTTAGAAATGAATATTTTTTGTGTTGAGAAAATGTGTTGCCAAGTGGAAATTAAATCTTTATGAAAAATGTGTTTGATCTTACAAGGCGTATCTTGGGAAGTATGTTCATTTGTGTATATGACTATATGTATGGAAATTTTTACTAATTGCATTACTAGATGATATATGATTGGGAGTTGTGTGTGAAATAATTATTATTATGTGATATGCCTCCAGTAAACCTGAAGTGTAGTTTGAAATAGTTTATCTTTGATTAGGTGAGCTAGAATAGCAAGCATAGTGTATGGAGGATATAAGCTATTAGTCATGCATATTTTTTTTGTTTGTCTCTTGCATATAATTTATATGAAAATGTATTTATTTGCCCACTTTAATAGTTTGTATGATTAATTGCATTGCGAGCATAATGATTATTGAGATTTTTGTTTCTCATTCTTACAATTTTTACAAGAAAGGCTCAAGCCAGAAAAGCACATGAGACGTAGTTATGATGTATGGAATACCACTTGACTTATAGGGCCTCTTCAGTGTTTTATGTACAGGTTTTTATTATATATACGAAATTAATAACTTTTTCTCTTTTTAATTTTCTCTAGGTTAGCTATGCATGAAGAAAGATAATCAAATCCTTTATTTTTCTTTTCTATCCATTTTCTTTCCTTCCTATTTTTTTTTATAAGAAGCACTGTTTTAGTGATTTATTAATAGTACAATTTATTATAATTTGTGGGTTATATATTAATAAATTTATAATAAGATACATTATTTATAGCCCATAAATAGTATGCATTATTTTAAATTAAGTGTAAATTATGATTCCATTTTCTAATTATTCATCGAGAGGGAAAAAAAACACATAATGGCCCACCTTCAATTTAAATTTAAATTAATAAGTAAGTATAACTTACCTCCCTGCTCAACCTTTTTAATTAGCTCCGTTTCTGTGTTCATGGAGAATTTTTAGTGGCCAGTTACATACTTGTCTAATCTTTTTACTTCGGTGACTCTATCCTCTTATAATTTATGTTTTTATTGTATATATAATTTTGACTGCATAAAAACTATTAATATCAAAGATTTTCATTAAATTAATTTAACATTGGAGCTCGTTTTTCAATGCCATATTTTATTTTTTTTTCAAATTAAAATTAAGAAAAACTTTAAACATTATAATATTTAATAAAAATAAAAAAAATAAATATAAATATTAGTGAAGTGTACGAAAAATATAAGCAAAATCAATCTTTTCTTCGCCCAGTCATCAGCTGCTGAGCATGTCTCCATCACACCAAACCCTTCCTTTATCGAGGAATGCCACAAGAACAACCCTTCAGTGCGAGTATGAGAATGCCAATTGTCTTGATCAGAAAAAAC